TTCTTTCTGAACTACACATGTAGTTATCCAACTTTTAATTCATCATCTCCAATGGGATGTCTAATAGGTAGGTTAAACTTCAGGTGCCCAAAAACAAACTCTCAATTTCTGTCCCACAATTCCTCCAATTCCCTTCCAGATCAATCAATGGAGACTTAATCTTGTTACACAGGCTAATACTTTGAAGTCTTTGCTTTTTAAAATTTTAAGTAAGGTAACATTTGTTATATTATTTAGGGGAATAGGTTCATATGTCAGAAGTCATTTTTTTTCACTTTTTAAAAAATTTTTATAACAGTTTATTTTTACATCATTTTGTACATTTTTTTTTCCATCTCAATTGTAATCCCTGCGGGTTTCCCATCACCAATTCACCCGTGTGCCATCAGCATAATTTCGTGCACTTCCCTCCCCACCCCCTCGTTTTTGATCCCATTCCCCACTCCACCCCCACAAAATGTCTCTGGTATATGGCTGTTCATTATTCTTGTTATTTTCTCGCCTGGTGCATTATACTCCTGCTATGAGTGAAACCATCCTGTATTTTTCTTTCTAGAAGTCATTTCTTATTTCACATAACTGATTTATTGTTATATCAGTTTCTACCTTTGAAATAAATCAAGAATCCAATCAATTCTTGATTTCTCATTGTTTCTACTGACATCACCACAGATTAAAATGCTGTAAATTCACTTGGTATAGCTTTACAACAGGTCTTCCTACTTCTAAGCATTCTTCTTTACAAGCTAGTCTCCATTTGGCTGTCACCAGGGCTCTCCCTGGTGGCGCAACGGGTTAAAGCACCTCATTGTGAAGCTCTCTAGCCAATGCAGCACAAGTTCCATGCCAGACCAGGGAGCTGACCCACATGGCCTGGCAGACCTTTCGTGATCCGCCTGCTACTCCCCTCAGCAGTGTAATTAGTCAATCTTCCTGTTCTGCTCCCCATTCTGTCTCTGGTGAATCCTCTCACCTACCACACCTCTGACCTGTACCCAGGTTCTGTAAGCATAAATAAATAAATCTTAAAAAAAAATTACTTAACAAAAATCATTACTTTTTTAATTATCTCAATCTGGGTTTGTGAAAAGTGGACAGAGGTATAGATGAAACCAGACTGATCATATAGTCCCAAATGTTGAAACATAACATTTGTTCTGTTATTTTTGTATATATTTTAAACATAAAACAGAATCAAAATTCTTTAAAGACTTTACCATTATCTATACCTGCACTAGTGTGATAGCCATCAGCATATGTGGCTATTAAGCACTGGAAATGTGCTAGCTTGAATTTAGATAAGCTATGAGTATTTAAAAAGTACACTGGACTATGGTGGTGCACATGGGTGAATTGGTGGTGGAAAGTTCACAGGGATTACAAATGAGATGAAAAAATGTACAAAATGAGGAATGATGTAATATATATATATATTTTTTTAAATACATTTTTTAACACTGGAGTTAAAGATTTAGTAATAAAAAAGTAAAATAACATTAAAATTCATTTCACTTCTTTCTTTTTACTTTAAAACATGACTCCTGGTTACCCTTCATCTTCCAAAGAATTTATCTACATAGCTAATACTATATTTCTATTAACTTCATAAGGTCTTATGATATCTGGCTCTGCTTCCTCCCTGACATTTCCCACACCTTCCTCACACCGCTCCAAAGATCTGATCTCTTTGCTTAAACAAAGCAAAATGCACTTCTACCACAGGATGTTTGCATTTTCAGATTTATTTGCTGGGGCAGTCTTTCTCAGTTTCTTTGTGGCTTACTCTATTGTTTCCTTCAGGATGATGCACAAGTCACCTATGTTTTTAGAGATAGTAAAATCTCCTGGGCCCTCCCTGGTGACACAGTGGGTTAAAACACAGCACTAAGAAGCTAAAGCCACTTCTGTATGAGTTCGATACCGCCAGCCCGGGAGGTGATCCACATGGCGTGGCAGACCTCTCCTGACCCGCCTCCTGCTCCTCTCAGCAGTGTACTTCGATGATCTGTCTGTTCTGCTCCCTACTCTGTCTCTGGTGAATCTTCTCACCGCACCTGCACCTCTGGCCTGTACCCCAGTTCTGTATGCACAAATAAATAAGTTTTTTTTAATAGTTTATTTTTACATCATTTTGTGCATTTTTCCATCTCAGTTGTAATCCTCTTGGGCTTCCCATCACCAAATCACCCATGTGCCATCACTATAGTCCAGTGCAGTTCCTTCCCCCTCACTATTTTTGATCCCCTTCCCCACTCCACCCCCACAAAATGTCTCTGGTGTATAGCTGTTTATTATTATTATTATTTTCTCATCTGGCCTATTATACTCTCCTGCTATGAGTGAAACCATCCGGTATTTTTCCTTTTCTTTCTGGCTTATTTTACTAAGCATGATCTTTTTCAGCTCCATTTTATTTTTTTGGGTGCTGAGTAATATTCAACTGTGTATATGTTCCACATCTTTTTCATTCACAAATAAATAAATCTTAAAAAAAAATCTCACTCCCTTTACCTTCTATTCCTCTTAATCTGCTTCCTCTTTCTTGATAGTTCTTACCATTATGCCTTTTCTGTTTTGTTCATTTGTCTTCCTATATCCTGAGCACCTAACATAATGCATGATACAGAATACATATTAGATAACAATTTGTGACACAGATGTCTATGTATGATGCAATAAGTTATTTCAAATTTAATACTGAATTGTCCTACAATAAGGTTCAGTTTTCCTAAATATATAAAAAGTAATATAAACTTTAATTTATTGTCAACTAGATGAAATCTCCTATGTAAGAAATCAGATTCTTTATAAAATGATGTGTAAGATAACTGTTTTATCTACTTCTAAAGAATTAAGACAAGATATGGGGCTCCCTGGTGTGCAAGGGGTTAAGTTTCAGCACTATCAAGATATTGGCAGCTACTGCAGCATAAGTTCTATCCCACAGCAGAGAGGTGGCCCACATGGCTCAGCAGACCTCCCCTGTCTCACCTGATGCTCCCCTCAGCAGTGTGTTTCAGCAGATCTGCCTGTTCTGCTCCCCACTCTGTCTCTGGTGAGTCCTCTCACTCCCCCCCTCACACCTCTGGCCTGTACCCCAGTTTTCCTATGCATAAATAAATAAATCTTTAAAAAAGATGATCAAGATACATGAAAAAAGAATGAACAAAAGAAAGCTGGTTAGAGTCAAGAAGAAGCAGTGCCAACAAATGGTCTGGACAGAGGTGGACAGACCCAAGCTAAAGTATGATCCATAATATAATTAAACACAAATGAAAAGAGGAGGCAGGAAAGATGCTTTCCTAAAGTTCATGCCCAGGGACAAACAGAAGTATTAACAATTATTTGAACAGGAATGAAGAAGAAAGCATCAAAGCTGTTGGAGACAGCTTTACAAAACCATCCAAATATGAAAGATTCATTAGACCAATGGGTTTATGTTTCATAAAGGCCTCCAGAACTAAATACAACCTGAATTAAAAGCCATCTTTTGCCTGCCAATACTTGGTGTAAAGAAAAATTCCTTATTCTGACTATATACAGTTTTGGATATTATTATGAAAGGTATGTCAACATGAGTGAGTTGGGCCTTGTGACACGAGGAGGCAAGGTTACCTGGAGGAAGTATGCCCAGGTTATCAACAGTTCTGAAAATGATGGATGCATAAATGCAGTCTTACTGGTTTGACAGCAGTTTCATAATTCTTGAAGTCTACACAAAAATCAGGAAAACTACAATTTCTCTGATATTTAGAATACTTCCAAACCACATGTCTGCCATCATCAAGAGAATATACATTCTATTGTAAAAATAATTAAAATGGCCTAGTTTTACAAATTATTTTTTGTTTTTGGGTCTGCTTAGACCCGACAAATTCATAAAATTGAATAATTAATAAAGAATTATAGAAAAATGAAATAGAACCAACAAGCTATAGGCCATTTTGGAATGTAAAATTTCAATAGGCAGAACTGACAAATCAGAACTAGTACTATATACTAAAGAGTGTAAGACTTAAAGTATGTCCTCAGTGATTTTGTTTTTTTGAGTATTACTTTGTATTAATTTAATGAAACTTCACTAAATGTGTATTGTATGTCAACACTATACCAACTACCCAGCTGGGGAAGTCAGCCACAGGATTATCAGTGACTTTCTGGAATAAATCCTCTTTTCTGTGTTATTAGTTTAAAGTGATCTGTAGATGTTCATCAGGTGTTGATGTTATCTACATCTTCATAAGGAACAAAATATCTCCCCAAGCATGAAGCAAGGCATTGCAATGGCCCTGAGGATTGTATTACAGTAGGCTAAATAGGCGAAAGGCTAAAGCAGATGTGTCCTGTTATGTTTACTGGCTCCACCAGTCCAGGGAAGAATAGATTTCCTACCCCCTTTTCAGGTTGCACAGCAAGATTAGGCCAAATTACCAACCCAATTGTATGGTAATTCAACTTTAAACTTCAAGATTTTATGGAGAATATTTCCAAAGTCTTAAATAAATCTTAACAAAATTGTTTCTAACTTGTTTCCCTGGACTTTCTTCCTTTGAATACCACGTTCATTTAGCACCACCCAAAGTACAAGAGATGAAACACCCTGGAATACTGGTTTTATATCACAGTTTTAAAAACTGTCAATTTTGAAAACACGGCTGGCAAGTTTCTGAAACTACCCAGAATCTTCTCAAAGCCGGCGAAAAACACAGGATAAAGAAACAAGCCGTTTTCTGAGCTTCTTGTTACTTTACAGAAAGACCTCAAAGTACGGAAAGAGAGAGGCGACAGAGAAAAGGCAAATAGCACTCCAGAGGGGCGGGGCCCTACAGCCGGACAGGGTGTTTCGCGCGCCCCGCAGCGGTGGCCGGTGGAAGCGCAGGCGCCCTGCGCCGTCGGGCGGTCGTCGACCGAGCCAATCCCGAGGCGAGCGAGAGGGGGCGCGGCCGGCCGAGGCGGGTTCTGGCTCCTCCCGGGTCCGCTGGTTCGCTGTGTGGATCCGGGCATGCAGCGCGGGCGCTTTTCGCTTCCCCACCGACCATGGAGCGGCTGACGTTGCCTCCCGGAGGCGCAGCGGCTGTTGACGAGTACCTGGAGTACCGGAGGTGAGGGGCGTTCTCTGGCGGGCAGGTCCCTAGAGGCTCGCTGGTGGCGTAGGTAGGAACCGGGCTGTAGCCTGGCCGGGCACAGCTTTTGGAGGAGGCTTACAGTGAGTTTCAGTTTCTTCTTTCTGTAATTAAATATTGTGATGATGTGCAGTTCTATACTAGTAGATCTCTTCCGAGGCCAATTAAGAGATGCTCCCCTCCAACCTCCGACCTAGACGGATTATTAACTCTAGATTTATCCAACCCCCCCCATGCCTATTACACATTGAATATTCGGGGCCTAAAGAAGCAGACATCAAATTTGCACATTAGTAAGAGGGTACACAAACTTCCAAATGTACACCCAACTCCGAGGTGTTGGTTTTAGGTAAAAGGAACATAATGGTGTAGTTTCAAGGTTTCTGGAGAAACTGGTCTTCCTGAAATTGGAAATGCTGCCATCCCTTTAGCTTGGGGGCAGGATTCACTTTCCTTGAGTCCTGACAAAGGCTGCTGCCCTGTGCTAAGTTTCCTAAGGGTTTTGACAGTTGGGAAACTGGGTGTGGGGGAATTGCTGGAGAAGGTCATGCTAGAAGATGCGGGAATGTGTTTAAAGGGGGAGTGAGGCAGTCACAATCGCACAAGGGAAACCTGAGTGAGAGGGGCGGACCAACTGCCCTGCTTAAAGGTGACTGTCCCAAATCACCCAAGAGTGTTGCGCCAAGCGAGTTCCCTAGCGAATTGTATTTCTTATGTTATGGTGGTATAGGCTTGGGTAACGGTTAAGATGTCCTGGTAATACTCAGCCAAAAAAGTGAGAGTGAGGAGCTTGATGGGTCAGGTCTCATTCTAGGTTCAGGTAGATCCAGGTAACTCCTGTTGTCCTGTCCTAGACCTGCTCCCACCTAGCTCTCAACCAGAGCTGAACCAGCACCCCCTTATCCCAAGTCTCTAGGTCCACCCTCCCCGCTCCCCCAAGCCTACCCTTCCAACAGTTGCTGGATACTTAGATATTTAGATAGGTCTCTTGCTTGATCCAGAAAGTAAGTAACCTGGAATAAATTTCTGCCAGAGATTATCAAGACATTTACTGACATCAGTATATAGGAAAGATGGGTTAGTTATGAAAGGACAGTAAAAGAGGTTGAAAGATGAATCTAGGTCAGGAACTCTCTTTACTCAAAGTTTTCCCAGATTCTGTCTTATTTAGGTGCTTTTGTGGGAGGCATTTGGAAGCAAAGTTTAGAACCTTGCTATTCAAAGTGTAACAACCAGGGACCAGTGGTATAGGAATCATCTGTGAACTTGTTACGCGTTGTTAGGCCTTTTTTTTTTTTTTTGAAGATTTATTTATTTATGCATACAGAACTGGGATACAGGCCAGAGCTACAGGGGCGTGAGAGCTTTCACCAGAGACAGAGTAGGGAGCAGAACAGGCAGATTATGGAATTACACTGCTGAGGGGAGCAGCGGTGGGCCAGGAGAGTTCTGCATAGCCATGTGGATCACATTGGGCAGGCGGGATAAGTCATGCTGAAGTGGCTTTCGCTTCTTAGTGCTGTGCTTTAACCCACTGTGCCACCAGAGAGGGCCCCATTCTTAGGCCTTTTAGTGTGAATCTGCATTTGAAAATACAGGTGATTCTGTCAATACAATTAAGTTTTCTGTGGTATTGGTTTAGAACTTAAATAGAAACGGTTCCATCCTTTATAATGATTTGCATTTATCTTAAGGTTTTTCTAGTACATGTCACACTTTTCAGTAGCATCACTAAAGTGAAATGAGTTTATCTCATAATTAAATGCCCTTTGTGTAGCTAAATTATTTAAGTAAGGAAGACTTTATAATTTCTGAACAAGCCTTTGCCAAAGACTTGAAAGTTTGAAAAAAAGGTATGAATTGCACAAATAATTATGTAGCATTCTGCAAACACTTTTTATTGCCTTCATAGGAGTATATTTTCAAAGAGAAATTTCTTCAAGTTTGAAAAAATTATATTTTTAATTATAGCCTTTTTAAAAAAATGTTTATTTTTACATCATTTTGTGCATTTTCCCATCTCAGTTGTAATCCCTGTGGGCTTCCAATCACCAAATCACCTGTGTGCCATCACCATAGTCTAGTGCATTTCTCACCCCCCTCTGTTTTTGATCCCATTCCCTATTCTCCCCCATAAAATGTCTCTGGTATATAGTTGTTTATTATTATTATTATTTTCTCCCCTGGTCCTTTATACTCCTGCTATGAGTGAAACCATCTGATATTTTTCCTTTTCTTTCTGGCTTATTTCACTAAGCATGATCTTTTCCAGCTTCATCCATGTTGCTGCAAAAAGCATGTTTTTATTTTTATTTTTTTGGATGCTGAGTAATATTCCACTGTCTTTTTAATCCAGTCATCCACTTTTGGGCATTTGGGCTGTTTCCATGTCTTTCCAATTGTAAATAAAGCAGCAATAAACATGGGGGTGCAGGTGTCTTTTTGAATCAGTGTTTTTGTGTCCTTTGGGAAGATACCTGGGAGTGGGATTGCTGGGTCATGTGAAGAAATTATTTTCCTTGTCTTCTTTTGCCAGAGAGGCCAAATCTTAATTTTCTTGTTGTGTCAAGTTTCAAGTTTCCCAAAGACCACCAAAGAGCCAATTCCGATGCAAAGCACAAGAGGGTCTTTACTGCAAGCTCGAGCCTGGGCTCCCAACATGCACCAACGCAGTGGCTGAAGTTTAGAGCCCTGAGCTGAGGAAAGGCAGGGTTTTTATTACAGAAGAGGGGAGTTTCAGCCCGGCAGAGGGGATTTTTTGCTCAGCAGTACATTGATTGGTAGACATTGAGCAAAGTTATCTTGTCTTAACCCAGTTGATCTATGCATGTAAGATGTGACCTTCACTACTCAACCTGCCTACCTTAGGGCATCTGGTGCTTTCCTGATATGTACTGGTTACTTGCCTACTTGCTAATTGGCTGTTGCTATGGGATGATCAAGATTAGGACATTTACAGTTAAACTCGTCGGCCTTGGCGCCTTGTTGATAACTAAACTTAGGCCTGGCTGTTTCAGAAGCATTCTGAAGCCTGTCATGGTGTCAGTTTGGTCTTTCATTCTAAGATATTAAGAAATAGAGGCAACTTAAGTTTTTACCTAAAGTTTTCAGGTCTCACTTCTGGAATTAAACATTGATGCACCTGACTACTTAACACACAGGTATTAGCTTGAACTTGTGTAGACTTAAGGGTATTTGCACAGATACAAGGGTGTTTGTGGTTTTGTATATTTTCATAAAACAAAAATAAAGTATACTTTTTCTTAAAGTGTAGATCTTTGCAACATTGTCATCATAACCAATGCCCTTTGCTTTTATTCTGTCTGAATTTAAACTCCTGACTTAGATTTGGGATCAGGTATGGACATTAATTTTACTGTCTTTTAGCAAAGGAAAATGTTTACTTTCTTTAATGTTCTATTTAATGGAGAAAAATGTTAAAACTTTTAGTAGTTTAGGTTCTAGCTATTAATGAGAAGAGTGAGCATGTTGTTTCAGAATGAAAGGAGAAATTGAGATGATTATATAACAAACCTCAGTAAAATCAGATGTTATGAATTTGTTGATTTTATTTTTTGTGATCATTTATATCACAAAACAAAGCTTTCTTAGGAAGAATATATCATTTTACTGTTACCATATGACTAAAGTAAAACAACAAGATTAAAGTGCCTTTTCTTTTGTATACATGTTGCCTAATTTTAGAATTTATGATTTTTCACCTGAAGGATACATATTCAAATCTTAAGAAACATTTCTTTTTCCTTTGGTAGAATTGTTGGCGAGGATGATGGAGGGAAACTTTTTACTCCTGAAGAATATGAAGAATATAAAAGAAAAGTTTTACCTATGCGCTTACAGAACAGATTATTTGTGAGCTGGCGATCACCAACTGGAATGGATTGTAAACTTGTGGGTCCAGAGACACTGTGTTTTTGTACACATAGGTAAGATATTTTACTGGCAAGTTTTCTGACGACTAGAAAATATAAAACTGTATCAGATCATATCATCTTTCTAGTTATAACATTATTTGTGGCCAGTGGGAAACATCTTAAAGTAGAACTTCAAATAATATTTTAGAAATTATCGAAAGCTTTTATTATTATTATTTTTTGTGCTGTAATAAAAAAAATTTCTGTATGTTCTAGTAGAACTCATTATGGAGCCCATCACTTTAAGCATCTCTTCTATTGATAAAGAGATATTGGTACCCTTGTGACTTTGCCAGAGGTCTTTCAGTCAGCTGGGGAGCCCTCCACTGGACAAGGTAGAACTCAGTCATCAGATTGCAAAACTGCTTAAGAGTTGCTTGTGTTGACTTGACTGAACAGGTAACCAGTCTATAAATAGGAGCATTGTTCCTAGCTTACTAATCTCCCTCTGTAGTTTAAGATATGTATTGAAGGCCTCCCTGGTGGTGCAAGGGGTTAAACACAGCACTATGAAGCTATCCATAACCACTGCAGCACAAGTTCGATCCCCAGCCAGGGAGCTGACCCACATGGCACAGGAGGCCTCTGCTGTTTTGAGGGCTGCTCCCCTCAGCAGTGTTTTTCAGTGGATCTACCTATTCTGTTCCCTGTTCTGTCTCTGGTGAACCCTCTCAAACCCCCTGACCCCAATCTCTGGCCTGCACCCATGCTCTTGTGTGCATGAATAAATAAATCTTAAAAAAAAAAAAGAAGTGTATTGGGTTTGTTTCTTTAAACAAAGATATAAACATATATAGAATTTTATTATTAATAATCATGTTCCCAAAAAAGTACATGAAGGAAAGTAAATATATGAGGATCCCGTCATTGGTGTGTGTTGCTTGTACCTGCGGTTTGCGATGGGTGTGTTCATTGTCTTCTACTTTAAATTTTACTACTGTCACAGGTCACAACTCGGACAAACCTGCTTTGTGAGGAAAAAACACTGACTACATGTATTTTTATATTATATGTGTGTTTAGGTAACAACTAGAACTTTCTGTTACAAAGGAGCCATGGAAGGAGAATCGCCCTGTTTCTGGGTCTCTTTCATGAGGGACTCTTTTGTAGTTGCTATTTACAGACTTAAGTTTGCCAAAGGTTGTTAGGCAGTTGCTAGGATGAGTAATGTTGTCTATAGTTTGACTTTACATTTCTTTAGCAACGCCAGCTGAAAGCACTGGAGAAATGGAGGATGAGGGATTTGTTGTTATTTTCGAGAATTGAAGAGGAGTTTGGCAAATTTATATTAATTTTATAACATACACTCCTATGAATTTAGTACCAATTTCTTATTTGTATACATCATGGGATTAGCTCAAAATTGACCCAACCCGACTTTATTGGAAAAGTTCTGAGATGTTTACGGGGGAGTTCCCCTACCACGTGCTTGCCCCCCCCATTATAAAAGTGAAACATGGAAATGTAGAAAGTGAAGAAAACTTACTATGAAAGCCAGCTGCTGATTATACACTTTACTATATTTGTGTAATTTTTTCCTTTATATTAATCATTTAATTATTAATTATGTATGTATAAACATTAAACCAGTTTTTCATGATAGAATCACAGGAATGTTTTCACATTGTTATGTAGTAATTATAAACTGGATTTTAAATGCCTCAATATGTTAGCTAAATCAGTGGGCTGCATTGTGTGTAACTCATATAGCTATGAGGTAGTCTCAAGGGTATTAGGGCAGGTTAAGGGAAGGAAGCACTCCAATTCTGGCTCTTCATTGACCCATTCTGTTTTTATATATTTTATGTATTATGTTTCTGTAAAGGACTGAATTTGAAGAAAGGGCTTCACTGTTAAAAAAAAAATTGGAAACTATTGTCTAGTATTTTATTTATTTCTTCCTTTATTTGTATGTATATGTATGTTTATGTTTTTTGATACTGTAAGTACTGTTGCTAATACCACTGCTACTGGAAGTTCTTTTATTATTTCCCCCCTTCCCAAAGGAACTATCTAGGTTAAAGGATAGATTTTTTTTAAAAGTTTCTGCAAACTTTAAACAGGATTGGTTCTTTTGTAATACTCCTGACAACACTGTGAATTACATATAGTTTCAAAAAACTTTAGCTCTTTGTGCTAATTGAAAAATGGTGTCAGTCTTATTTTGATATCTGTTAACTTAGAATAATATTGAAAGTTATAAGTGTCTTGTCTTGTTTAAGAAAATTGCAGGTATATTAGTGAGAACTTTAACTCTTAACATGCTTATAATTTATTTGGAAGTTAAAAGTTAAATTACATTGAAATAAGTTACATTAATATTTATTGTACACAAAATTTATATGTATTGAACATTTCTCATAGTTTTAGGTTATGCTTCCGTATAAAAGATGCTGTAGTGGTATCTTAAGGGGATTATATATTTTGGGGGGTTATATTGCTGTGAAATTTTTTTTTATAATTTTAAAAATATTTAATCTTTTATTTTATTTATAATTTTTTAAAGATTTATTTATTTATGCATACAGAACTGAGGTACAGGTGCAGGGGTGGTGAGAGGATTCACCAGAGACAGAATGGGGAGCAGAACAGGCCAACTGAGGAAGTACACTGCTGAGGGGAGCAACAGGCCGGTCAGAAGAGGTCTGCCACGCCATGTGGGCTGGGGACCGAACTCACGCTGAAGTGGCTTTAGCTTCTTAGTGCTGTGCTTTAAACCCGCTGGGCCTCTAGGGAGGGCTCTGCTGTGAAATTTTTAAATAGGTAAAACAAAATCTAAGAGTGAAGATTTTTTGTTGAAGCAACATAGCTGACAGAAATACCATATGTAGGGGAGTTTATTTTCACCTTACAAACGAGGACAATGAAATAAATACAATAGAAAACATCCCTTAATAGAAAGAAATTGCAATTTTTGTATTTATATTTCTTTCCTTTTATTTATTTATTTATTTATCTATTTATTTTAGGTATAAACAACATAAAACTGACTTTGAAACAATTCCACAGCAGCGTCCCATTAGTCTGCCTTGCCGAGTGACAGGCTGTCTGTGCAGGTCTTTCGTTTATGTCCCTCTCAATGGCACACAGCCCATTCGCTGCAGATGCAAGCACTTCGCGGATCAGCATAGCGCTGCTCCTGGCTCCGCCTGCAATACTTGTGAGTTCCATTGCTAGAGAAGCACAAACAGAATGTTTTTCTTTATCGACTATGTAATATATGTATGTGCCCTTTTTATTAAGCCGTAGTATCCATATTAAACAACTGAGGAAAATTTAATGGATAACCACTCAAAATTTTTATTTTTTGTGGAAAAGGTCATAAAGTTATTTGTGTGTTTGGCTATCACCAATCCTGGTCTCATGTAATTAAACTAAGTTAAGAAAATAGTAATGGATCTTAATAATCATTAGACTTGATTTGATTCAAATTTTTGAATCGGGAGTTTAATCAACTAAATTCTATTAGCTTTTTTCTTTTAATAAAAGAATTTTGTAGGTCAAAACTTTTTTTGTGATTTTTCTGGTTGATTATTATATTATTACTTAAGAGAGACTGATAGAAAAGCAAAATGTAGCTTTGGTATTTATAACACTTTATATGCAATACCATTTTTACCCTGATACCTAGACCCAAATTCCATATGTCCTTTCAGTTAATCATTGCTTGATCATCCTTTAAAAAATGGTGAAATAGTATAGTAGTTTTCTTCAGGCGATAGTTTTCAAATTGTTTTTACAGTAGTTTGAATTCAATACTAAATTCTATGAAAAGGGTCATAACAGTATTTTTAATGACTCGGCAGAAATATATTTTATTGTTTAAGTAGTTGCATAAAACATTTATTATTTGCCTTGGTTCCTCTTCACATCTGTCAGATGTTAAATGAGTAACAATTTTATCAGTGGTTTATTCTGGCCACTATTTCAACATGACTTTTTTTTTTTTAAAATATAACATTACTAATATAGGATTTCTAGAATATATAGCTTATCCATTTCAAGAGTGCACTTTAATGGTTTTTGATGTATTTACAAAGTTGTGCAACCATCACCACAATAGATTATAGAACATTTTTGTCACCCCCCTAAGCTCCATGTTTATTGACAGTTTTTCCATATTGTTCCCTCACCATAACCATAGGCAACCAATAATCTACTTTTTGTCTATGGATTTGCCTATTTTAGACATTTCATGTAAGTGGAATCCTACAATATGTGATCTTTTGTGATGGACATCTTTCACTTGGCATTAAGTTTTTATGATTCACCCACAATGCACCATATATTAATACATCTTTCATTTTTATTGTTAAACAATATTTCATTGCATCTCTTCAGTGTCTGTGGGTTAGCCTTTTAATATGGCTTTTATGGGGAATTGATTCATAGGGAGTTTTCCACTTATCTCCTCACCTGGCTCAGGTCATAAAACTGAGGACAGGGCCTGCATTTTCACTCTCCAGTGGTTAATCCAAGTTAAATACTTACCCTTTTCCCACTTCAGCATCTTTTATAAGTAAGGATAGCAGCTGGGAGGAAGTTCAGGGACTGGTGGATAGTTATGGGGCCAGAGAACAGTGGTAAACTATCTGACTTCAGGTGACTTTGGCTAGATGAGTGTTTTCAGGGCTGAAGGCTCAGTACCTATATCTAAAAACATTTAACACTTTACATCTTGATTCAGGTTCCAAGTGTTCAGGATTCCATAGCTGCTTCACTTGTGCTTGTGGTCAGCCTGCGTATGCCCATGACACAGTAGTAGAAACTAGGCAAGAAAGACTGGCTCAGGGAAAACCAGTGGGACAGGATGTTCCTTATGCAGCAATGGGAGGATTAACTGGCTTCAGCTCACTAGCAGAAGGCTACATGCGGTTAGATGACAGTGGAATTGGTAAGTGATGATATGTGAACTGTGATCATGTATATTGTTTTTATGTATGCTAACAATGGTGATGCTTTATATTTGTTAGGATTTTATGTTCATCTTTTGTTTTTTCTTCCAGAAAGCATTTGATCATTTTTAAAAATATTTTTTGGAGAGATCTTACTGCTTTTCTACAATATATGTTTTATAGAAATAAAGAAAACACAAAAGCAAAAAAATCATTCCTATCCTAATACTTACTATCCAAATTCCAAACCCCAATCCATTGCAATAACTGAATAATTTTTCTTTTGCTTAATATGGTACAGTTTACTTGCTATTCTATTGTGTATATAATTTTTGCTATCTCATTTTGGAAACATAGGCATATATGCTCATGTGTACATATGCGCATGTGTATACAAAAAGTTATGACATTCTATGCACCCATATATGCATGCATATATGTGTACACACATATCTCTGCTTGCATATCTAAAAAGTTTAAAGTAATATAAAGAAAAATTAGACATATCTCAAACTATTGAGGGTAGCTCCATCTGCCGGAGAGTTGGGTGGGATTAGGGAGATTAATATAGTTTGATATATTTTAAATATTTAAGCTTTCTGGTGCATTTTTATTTATTTATGCGTACAAGAACTGGGGTACAGGCCAGAGGTATGGGGGTATGAGAAGATTCACCAGAGATAGAGTAGAAGCAGAACAGGCAGATGTACTGAAATATACTGCTGAGGGGAGCAGCGGGTGGGTTAGGAGAAGTCTGCCCCCCATGTGGGTCACCTCCCTGTCTAGGGACCGAAGTCATACTATAGTGGCCCTCCCTGGTGGCACAACAGGTTAAAGCACAGCACTATGAAGCTAGCCAGCTGCAGCTGCCGCAGCCTGAGTTTGATCCCCAACCAGGTAAGTAACCCACATGGTGCAGCAGACCTTTCCTATCTCTCCTGCTGCTCCTCTCAGCAGTGTACTTCGTCCGTCTGCCTGTTCTGTTCCCCACTCTCTGGTGAACCCTCTTACTGCCTTGAAACCTGTGGCCTGTACCCCAATTCTGTATGCATAAAAAATGTATTATTTTACTTTATTTGTTACAAAATTACATAAAAATACAAATTATTTTTTCTTGTGTAGAGAATTCAAATAATAAAAATGAAGTGCAGGCCCCCTCTCCAACACATTTCTTTACCTGACATTCTCTCCCAGAGGGTACTATGTTGACATCAATTGATCTGTATTTTTAAAAAACTACATTTTGTAGCTTCTTTTTAATTTAAACAATTTTGAGGCACTGTTATGTCAATACCACAAATTTATGTAATTCTTTTTAATAGATTGTTTCAATTTTTTTTTAAAAAACAATACTATCTCCAAAATTCTTGAACTTGCTTCCTTACTTATTTTCCTTCTCAGTATTGTATATTGAAAAATCCTGTTTTTCAATGATACAGAAAAGTAGAATTGTTGGGTATATGTGTGTGCACATATGAAATTCTAATACATTTGGCCAGATGCCCTAAAAAAATACAGTGTTGGCCCTCCCTGGTGGCGCAGCGGGTTAAAGCACAGCACTGAGAAGCTAAAGCCGCTTCTGCATGAGTTCGATTCCCGCCTGCCCCGGAGGTGACCACATGGCGTGGCAGACCTCTCCTGACCCGCCCGCTGCTCCCCTCAGCAGTGTACTTCGTCGATCTGCCTGTTCTGCTCCCCACTCTGTCTCTGGTGAAGTCTTTCGCCACCCCAGAGTCTCTGGCCTGTGCCCCAGTTCTGTATGCACAAATAAATAAATCTTTAAAAAAAAATTAAAAAAAAAATACAGTGCTTTGTTTATATTTCCTGTAATGATATTTTAGCTTATTTACTTCATCATATTTATGCTGTTTGCTGATATTATTAAACTTAATTTTTTTCCAGTATTATGTGTGGAAATGTTTCCATTGTTTCAGTTTGATTTTCCTGGTTATTGGTGAGATGAGTAAAGTAAAATGGTGAATTTTACTTTTGGTGAATTGCCTGTTCTTATACTTTTTTTTTTAATTTGTTCATTTTTTAAAAAGATGTATTTATTCATGTCTATAAGAGCTGGGGTGCAGGCCAGAGGTGCAGGGCATGAGAGAATTTACCAGACAGAGAGGGGAACAGAACAGGCAGATCCACTGAAACACACCGCTGAGGGGAGCAGTGGGCAAGACAGGAGAGGTCTGCTGTGCCATGTGGGTCAGCACAATCCCCAGAGGGGATTGAACTTGCTACAGTGGCTATAAGTTGCTTCATGAGTTGTTTCTTAACCCGTTGAGCCACCAGGAAGGCCCCTACTTTTTTTTGTTTTTATCCTTTTTCATTGACTTATAGGAAGACTTTTAAAATTTAAATTAAGCCTTTGTTATTCAATTTGTAAATATTTACTTCCAATATGTCATTTGGTCATTTGGTTTTTAGCTTTTTTTTTTTTTAACAGGTTTGTGTGTGTGTAAGTGTAGAAAAATGGGTATAAGCCAGAGGGTTGGGGAGTGGGGTGGCAGTGAGTGAGCAATTCACTAGAGACAGAGTGAGGATCAGAACAGGGAGATTTACTGAAATACACTGCTAAGGGGAGCAATGGATGAGAACAGGAGGCATATATTGTGCCATATGTGGTTTAGCGACTTGACCAAGGATGAAACTCAGGCCATAGGAGTGATAGCACTGAGACTTAACCTCTAGGCTACCAGGGAGGCCCCTAGTTTTTAAATTATGGATGTTAATAATCCTCCTCCAATTTTATTAAATATGCTCTCCTTCATTTTATTGATTTTTTTTT